TATATCGACTCAGCTCATCGCGCTGATCAAGAATATATATACTTTGTGGGGTCTGCCACGCCTCCTTCTGCCCGTTACATACTTTTTCACAAAACCATTATACCCTGATTTCCCATTTTCAATGGGTTCAGGGTATAAAAAGCGCTTTATTTTCACCTAAAAAAAACGCTATAAATTTTGTTGTCGTAGGCCTGGGCGCGCGTTTCTAATGAAAGTGATAAAAAAAAAGCAAACCCGAAAAAAAATAAATAAATTATAAAATAATCGCAGCGGAAACCAAATGCAAAAAAGAGTCACGAAAATTATGCAAATTATTTTAATTACAAACGAGAAACTACAACAAAAATGCCCAAAAAAGGGCTACAAAAAATAGCTCGCTTTGTGACTGGGCCACCAAAATACCCAAAAAAAAAATAAATAAATAAATAAACATAAAATAAAAGAGAAACAACAACAATGGTGACTACAATAATAACAACAACAACAGCAACAGAAGCAGCGCGGCGACGCACAGTTGACCCACTTAAATTGGCAAGAGAAACTGTAAACGAAACGGAGCCAATGCCAAAGCCGAACGAACGATCAAAGCCGACGCTCAGCCGAAGTCGTTGGCTGTGCTAAAAATAAACCGTGCGCCAGATTCTGCTGCTCCTGCTCTGCCTGCCCTGTCTCCCTTTCTCTCTCTTGCTCTCGTTGCCCTTGCCCAGCTCCTTCGGCGCTTTATCAACTGCAGCAGTGAAAGTGACAGCGCGATACACGCATACATATGTATATTGTCTCTGCCATTGGTTGTCATGCCCGAGCTTTTATTTATGCATTTCAATGCGTTTCGTTAAGCCGTGCACCAAATTCTGCAACTCCTTCGCTATCTCCCTTCCTCTCCCGTCGGCTCGTGCTCTCCTGCTGCTGCAACAGTGAAAGTGACAGGGAGACACTTAACATTATCGCACTCATACATATATAAATTTCTGCTCTTATTCGTTGCTCAAAATGTTGTTTCATTGTTTCATTTAGTATTTCATTATGTTTGTGTTTCATTTCGTTCCGTTTCACTTTAGTTGTATATTATGTATTTTGCACTTCTTTCTATCTCTCATTCTTCTTCTGTTTTTACAGGCAGGAAATCTCCATTTTTGGGTTTTATTTGCAAAGCAAACGGTAATTTTTTAAGTTTTTTTTTTCGTTTTATATTTTTGTTTTGTTCTCTTTTGTTTACAGCATACAAATGTTGTCATACGTTATGTTTTGTTTGCATTCTTTCGTTTCCTATGACTTGCGAAAGTTGTAAATGTATTAGATTTTTGCTTGTCTTGTTTGCCTTGCTTTACGTTCTCAGTTTTATGTCATTTGCCCATAAATTCCATAATATGTATGTATGTATATGTTTTCTCACATAGATCCCAATACCCGTTAAACCTTTCAGCCAACTTCATTTATCATCTGTTGATTTACTTTTTTCTTGTCTAATAATAAAAAGCCCGCATCAGTTAAGCAAAACTAACAACGAACCAGCAAATTTCCCAACAATAAATCCTAGAGTTAACAGCGCAAAGTAAACAACAGAGGCCAACAAATGAAATCAAATACAAATGCCTAATTAAAAAGCCAAATACGCCATGTTGCCAGCCCGCATGCAGATTGGCAAGTCCTAATTTTGCCTGAGTGTGCATGSYAGTGAATGTGTGCGTGCGTGTGTGTGTTTGCATTTGTTGCTATTACTTCACAATTCACATGCAACAAACAAACATTGGCGSACTTTTCACTTACATACGCTTCGCTGCCAGCGGCAAACGTAAAGAAAAGCAATGGAAAGAAAAATAAAAGAAAATATTACTTCACTGCCACAGACCAGAAATGTGGTCGCCGTCGCCGTCGCTGCCGTCGTCTTCGTTGTCGTCGCATAAAATTTCGCAATAGTTGGTAATTCGCCTAAAAAGCAACAGTTACAACAACAGTAAAAACCTCGCAAATGAAAGTGAGAGTGAATAAGAAAGCGGAAACTAATGCAAGCGAAACCAAAAAACGAAAATGAACAACAACAACCAAATAACGACGACGACGACGACGACGGCGACGATGGCAACTGGTTTCTGCCGACAGCATCGGCGCAGACTTCGCTTGAAACTCGTTTGGCTGTAAAATGTGCAAGAAATCAAAAGAGCGCGTCGCCGTTTAACAGTGACAGTAGCAGCGCAGCTGGCTGCGCAGTAGCGGCAAAAGCACGCTCAGTTGCGCCTGCGCAGCGTCAATTGAGCGAAGCTTTTTGTTTGAGTGCGTCGCTGGCTGAGCGAGGCGGCGATAAAAATCAGTTGAAAGCTGAAATTTCACTTTCGCTTTTTGCTGCCGCTGGCTGCGCAGTCGACGTTGTTGGCTTTAGTTTGCGCTGCTTCAGCTGCTTCCTCTGTTGTTGGCATTGTTTGTCTCGCTCTAACGCCTTGCTGTTTGGCCATTTCTTTGCGTTTTGTTTGCCGTTAGCCAAAGCGAATGCGGAAATTGATTTTGTATTGATTTGTTTGCCAAAAGAATTGTCCAGCTTTATACATATTCATATCTGTTATACATTTCATTTGAAATCATATAATATCACGCATTTAGTATACGCCATGTTGACCCACTTTACAGCCTGACAGCTGCCCAAGTAGTGCTCAGGCCCTTATCAATTCACTCTATGCACTTGACAATTGCAAAAATAAAAATAATAAAAACTACTCTAGAAATTAGTGGAAAAACAAAAATACCTAAGCACCTAAGCGTTATCAGTGCCATTCGCCATTCGCCATTCGCCATTTGGCGTTGTCGTTGTAGTTGTAGTTGTCTGTCTATGATTAATAATAGTTTGTAATAATGTGCAATTTGTCCTTGGTTAGCATTGAAGAACTTAACTATATTCTCCATAWTGARCYCAATATTATAATGGACTTTCTTRTTGCAGGCAAATCCACATCGAATAGCAAAGAAATCATCTGTCCGGATGACAAATACAAAGAGGAGGGCGACATCTGGAATGTTGAGGCGCAAACCGCATTTCTCGGGCCCAATCTGTGGGACAAAACCTTGCCCTACGATGCGGACCTCAAGGTAACACAAGTTAGTATCATTATCATCGCTGCGTAGTGGCTGCGTCTGTTTTACTACACCCCAAACCCAACTTTCCCGAAACACACAAAAAATTGCAACCGAAACAGTGCACACACACACACACACACACCTACACACACACAGATTAACCCGAGTCTTGGTGCTTAACGTAGTGCGAGAATTGCATTCTCATCATTTTGTATATATATATATTTATGGTATTTATTAAATACTGTACAGTTTATGTCCTCCATAGCAACTATTGACTAATACAAAATACACTATTCAACACAATTGCTGTAGTTATTACATGCAATTCTTAATTACATTTCAATTACCAATGCAATTACTTTTGATAACTAGAAAATTGTGACAGATGTATGATCATTATTCATTTTAGTTTATTTAATTACTTCAGTATGTCGTTTAATTACTTATAATATGAACTTTTGTCAAATCGGATCTAAATGATAAATATAATTGAATTTTCATTACATTTTAATACTAAATATTAAAAGGAAATAAACATCTTCGGCTAATTTATTCAGTAATTATGCTTGATCCATGCATTCTTAAGAGATATCGTTTTATTTACTAAACTAATTAAATTTAATTAAATTTAAACATCTCTGCTCAATATATTAAAAATATTTGCGAATATTACGCTTTTTCGATATAAGTACTTGCTCTAAAATAATGTAATTACTCAGTAATTATGTATAGTTAGGAGCACATTTATAGTAATTTCATAATATACATGCCACTAATGCATATAAAATGTCATTATAATGAAAGTAATTGACTAGTGCAAAAAGTAATTGACTTGGCAATTGGTAATTAAACACCACACAAGCAAACAATTATCTTGCAGTGTTGTTAAATTTTATTGTTACTGTTTCGACTGCTGTGTGACCGTTGAGAGACAATCAATGTAAACAATTATTTTTCGTATGCAGTATGCGGACTTGGACGAGTTCTTGTCGGAGAACAATATACCCGACGGCCTGCCGGGCACCCATTTGGGCCATGCCGGCGGTCTCGGCCATCGATCCGATTCCCTGAGCCATGCAGCTGGCCTGTCCCTGGGTCTGGGGCACATAACCACAAAGCGCGAGCGATCGCCATCGCCATCGGATTGCATTAGTCCCGATACGCTAAATCCGCCATCGCCGGCCGAATCAAGTGAGTATTGCATACACAATGGGCGTAACAGAAGGAGAGAGAATGATCATCTTAATTAACTTWAAATTATGTTACTCAAAATATATTTAAAAAAAAAAAAAACACAAATGGAATGGACATTGCGCCTCTTTAACTATCGAATCTATTTAATATATAACTATATAATTTTTCTAAATATATATAAATGTACCACATATATCTCTATATATACCACATATAAGTTATGCATTTAAGAAAATATGAAATAGAAAATGTTTTTGCTCATGTCTTATCAAATGCTAAATGTTAAAGGCTGATTTCATTCCAATTTGTGCGAATATCAAGGCAAATTGTTGTCAATTTGAGTTTTCGTGATTTGTTGTTATAAATCGTTCCTCTTCTTTGGTTTTTCATTTACTGTTTCGTTTTCGATCTGAAAGTGAGTCCATTTTGTATTTGATTTAATTAAGAATATAGCACGAACAGTCTGTGAAAAACATTGTTAACATTTAGTATTTGATATTCCAGCATTTTCATTCGCATCGTCGGGGCGGGACTTTGATCCGCGCACCAGAGCATTCTCCGACGAAGAGCTCAAACCGCAGCCGATGATTAAAAAGTCACGCAAACAATTTGTTCCAGATGAGCTCAAGGACGACAAATACTGGGCCCGACGACGAAAGAACAACATCGCTGCCAAACGGTCCAGAGATGCACGTCGCCAGAAGGAGAACCAGATTGCGATGCGTGCACGCTATTTGGAAAAGGAAGTGAGTAGCCGGACAAATCGATAAATCAACGGCAATCGATAACAATTATTCTCACTATTGCAGAATGCCACGTTACATCAGGAGGTCGAGCAGCTAAAACAGGAGAACATGGACTTGCGTGCACGTCTATCGAAATTCCAGGATGTGTAATGAAAATTATATAACAAATAAAATATATAATATATGAAAGAAAATGTGACTTTGAGCGATACGAAATACCACATCAACAATTACATTATAATGAATAATAATACTAATAATATTAAACCTGTCTATCGATAAATGATAAAAACGATAAAAATTATGCTATAATAACTTTTAGTAAAGAGACAAAATGAGAAAAACCTAAACTAAACAAGAGAAAAACAATTTATACATGCATTAACATGTATAGCAAGCTATATA